TTCTAATTCATGTGATCCTGGTAATTACATATACGATTCAAAAGAAATATATTGGTACTTAATAATTAGTGAAACCTAGTTAATACAAAAATCTAAACATAAATTTTTATCAATTTAACCTGAAATCAATTTAAATTTGAAATAAAATAAACAATATTCCCAAAGTAATTCAGACCAAGTAAACACCTTCAATTAATAACCTTTCTGTTTGATAATGATCATTCACCGCAAATAATCGAAACCAATAATTGGAATGTCTACGCGATAGTTGAAATCAAATAACATGCATATACTTATACTAGCTGTCGCCCGCGACTCCGCATGCGCGGGATAATAAAACAACTTTGGCACAGACGTATAACATAGCCTGGAAGAACACATGGGCTACTTATTATGCTTTTTTGAATTTAAGTAAAAAAGCATAATTAAAAGCATATGTGTTTTTTTAAGTAAAAAGAGTCTAAAGCGTCGATGGCTCAGTCAAGCACTTGACTTGCAATCTGCAGGTCCTGGTTTTTAATCCCGCCATGTACCAATGTGTCTTTCGATTTCCGATGCTTCTGGTGAAGGAAAACATCGTGATGCAACCTGTACATATCTGAGAAGAAATTCAAAAGATATGTGTCAAGTCAACCAACCCGCACTTGGCCAGCGTGGTTAACTATGGCCCAGTCACCCATAACTTAGGGTAGGCTCCGAGCCCCTCGATGGGGACATATAGTGAGCTGATGATGAAGTAAAAAAAAGCATAATTAGTAGCATATGTAAAAATAAATCACTTTTTGCAGCCTTATGTAATAAAGGAACAAATAATTTGAGCCATTCATAGTTATTTTGATACGAATGTGTTTGAATTGTCCAAAGATATGAAGTGACAAAAATAAAGCTTCAAGTGTCAATTTCCCGGACAGGATATTATACCCGTATCAAAAATGAAATAGTTTTTTTTTCACCAAAATCAAAAACATATTATGTTGAAGAGCATACAAATTTTATACTAAAATCTTTATAAAACACGATAAAATTCTTAACATTTAAAGGCCATCATTTATCATGTAAACTTTCGTCTAATTACAACTTTTTGCTTCAAGAAATAATACTGGCTGTATATACTTTTTCTTTTTAATATGTGTTAGTGAAATGAGCATATCAAAATTAAATAAATAAATATAATCTTTTTTCATTTTCTTATAAGAGAAGGGGACAAAAGTGCGGCGGTAACACCAAGGTAAACAACGATGTTCATGCACCAGGCGACGGACCTGCAACACCAGATAGCTACAAAAAAGATGATTTTTCTTTAGTGTTATTTCTTCGTACTAATCTGAACTAAGCCAGCAAGGTTTATTATGGCCTAGTCATTCCCTAACTTACGGGGGACTTACGTGGGGACCCACAGTGATAATAATTTGTAAATGGAGGGAAAGGAAGGTTATAGGTTCTATCATGCTAATATTATAAATTGTGATGAAATGTTTAGATGGATGGATATACGTTTGTTTGAAGGTATCTCCAGAAAAGCTAAACGGATCTCTCTGAAATTTGGCATAGAATTAGAACATAGTTTGGAAGAACACATCGACTATTTTAGCTTTTTTTAATTCTGCGCGAACGGAGTCTTGGGCGACAGCTAGTATAAATATATATTAAGGTCATCCTATCGTACATTTTTTGCGTCTTTTTGTCTGAGCGTTATCAAAGGAAAATCCCTCCCTGTAATCTATGGAGTGGAATAATTCGAACCCAAGCTCTCAAGTTGACATGCATGCCCCTAATTAGAGGTTGAATGGACCTCGCGTGAATTCGACAAGCACTCAACATCTTATATCTACGTCGTTTGAGCCTATTTAGTTAAGAGAACGCAAAATAAAAACTCAGAGACATACTTAACTAAATGCACTCTAATTATCAGAGTCCTCCTCTGTTTTTCGTGCGTATTTATAAATGTACATAATACTAGCTCTCGCCCGTGACTCCGTCGCGCGGGATAAAAAAATAGATAGTAGCCGATTCTCACACCTACTGAATATGCATATATAAAATTTCATGAAAATCGATCAAGCCGTTTAGAAGGAGTATGATAACTAACATTGACACGAGAATAACATTGACATGAGAAACCCTTGGAAAACCCCTTGAGAAACTTACACTTGGGTTTGTATATAAGTTCCATTGTGACCGCCTGGAGCGTAAACGACTATGGCAATTTTGACGAGAGGTGATGTCGTAATCAAATTCGATTGATTTTCTTGTCAGGAATATCATACGAGTCGACAATCAGAATTTAAGGTTTTTTTCCAATAAAAAAGTAGTTTTTTCACTCATAATAACACCCTATCGAACACCTATAATTTTACTAATATTATAAATGCGAATGTTTAAATGGATGGATGTTTGTTTGAAGGTATCTTCAGCACGGATGAACGGATCTCGATGGAATTTGACATACATATAGGACACAGTCGGGAAGAACAAATAGGCTACTAATTATGTTTTTTTTTAATTCCACGTGGACGCAGTCGCTTGCGACCGTTTTCTATAAATCACTCTCTTGGTATTTGGTAAGTCGTATGAAAATTCTTTTTTTACCTTTGATTTTGCTTTCAATCATATTTAGTTGACTCTTAATATTTTTAAAGCCTGTAAAAATGTAATAAGATTGTACCATAATTCTCTTTTCATCGTCTTCGTAATTTATACGTTTAATAATCAATGACCCAAAAACAAAATGGGCATAGACATTCATAAATTTCAACGACGTGATCCACATTTTCGGTAGCAATTAATTCTCGGAGGTATTCATTTTGCACCCCCGTTAATTTAATCAATCGCAATTAAATGAGAATAAGGGGCAATTCCACTGTTTATGACAGTACGAAAATGTTTAGTTACAAGATTAATTTGTCAATAAAAACTTTTTAAGCAGTGTCAAAAACCTAATTTGTTCATTACATACTGTAGAAATTATGTTTCTTTCGATTTAAGAAAGAGATATCGTGTATTCATGTGTACAAACCAACACCATGCAATACAGGAACGACCAAATAGCTTGTCATACTTTTATTTACTTGTCCCAGTTTCCGTGATCATAACGAAAGATTTTCCAATATACCCTATCCGCATATTTACTTGCACACGGCGCGTTCAATAAATCCAGTCCCAGGCCGAATCCCGATAGTCACTTCCTGGATTTTATGAACACATCTGCACATACAACTTTATAAATAAAATTAAGGTGTGTATATTTTCTCTTTACATTCCTTAACCACTATATAGATTGTGAAGGCAGAGAAGCTTTAATGATGTTTTTTTATTTACAAAAAGATATTCGAGACGATTCCAATAAGCCCAAACTGGATGAGGTGTGTCGTTTCATTGCGAAGTTCCGATCACCACCTTCCAGCATCGTCATAAAATATTATATAATAAAGTTTTATCAGTATTAATGCAACTTTGTTCGCAATTTCATATTGTTTTAGCTTTGCAACGCATGTAGGATTAGCGTAATTATGTATAATGTTAACATTAAAAAATTCTATTACCTATTTCTGTTTATAACGAATGAAATATAACGGCTTGTTGTAAAACTTCTTGAAGTCATAAAGAATAACATGATATAAAACGCATCTGGCCCCAATCCTTACTGCCGACCTGCTTCAATAAAACCGCGCCAATAAACCTACGGCTGCTGTGATTTTATAATTTTATTTCATTCTTGATAAATCTGCACGTGATAGAAAATATTAATTTAAAACCTAGTTTCAAAAGTATAATACATTAATTTTTTTTTAATAAATTGGCACCGCTAAAATTCTCACAATTAGGTACAACAATTGTCATGAAAATATCTTACTAATATTATAAATGCGAATGTTTAGATGGATGAACGGATGGATGTATGTTTGGTCGAAGGTATCTCCAGAACGGTTGCAGAGATCCCTAGGAAACTTGGCATATAGATGTAGAACATAGTCTGAAAGAACACATAGGCTACTAAGTTTGTTTACGGAATTATGTATTCAACATACACAATTGCATTATTAAAGTTATATTAAATATATAACAATACAAAAGTATTCTGCTTTATTGAACTGAGATTATATATTAACCGACTTCAAAAAGGAGGAGGTTCTCAATTCGTCTGTTTTTTTTTAATAATTTATTTTATATGTCATCAAAGAGATCGTATCATCTATGAAGTGGAATAATCCGTCCCTTAGTTCAATTCAACGTTCAACCGAACTCTATTTTGATGTGAACAGTCAACTATAATACGTCTTATACACTAACTAAATAGTAAAGGGAGCAAAGGCCACAAAACTGACTCAAGTTTACATTTTATTTGAAAACATATTCATTAATTAAATTTACTTAAAACGAAATTAACAAATAATAACTTACTTGACCATATTAGGATTTGAAGGCCTTAACCGCTTACTAATTTATTATTGTACATTAAATGTATAGAAAATAGATTTTTTAATAAACACATCAATAAAGGTCTTTAATATATCCCTATAATTTGCATTTTAAATAGAAAAGTTTTAAATAAACATGTCTAAGCCAGATTGCAATATGCAAGTTGTTAGTAAGAAAAATAAAAACAAAGAATTGATCGACAGAATTACCTATTCATATAAAAGGAAAAACTGCCTGACATATTGCAAATAAGGAATTTTCAAAAGACATCTCGTAAAAGACAAAATTGAAGGGAATGTAAATGATTTTTCTTCAGCAAAATTATCAAAAAATTTACATAAACACTTTTCAGTAGAAATAAAAAGTGTCGTATTAATTGTTGTAGACGAAGACGCTTGCGACAGCTAGTATTCATACGTGCTCTATCTAATAAACAAGTTTTCGTAGCGTGCGTAAGTATCGAAGTTTTTGTGTACGCAACTCAAAGTTGGGCAGTGCAAGTAACGCTTAGGGCGGGCGGCTTCAACATCAGACCGCCTTGCGCCGTCGACCAGGCTGCACACGCGCACACCATGTGAACGAAGCGACGCGATCGCTAAAATGTCGCTAAACTAACGCATAAAAGTAATAAACCTCCCCAATTCAGAGGCTCTAAAGCAATACTTAGTGCTTAGAAGTAGTTTTAGAAACTTAAAAAAAAATACTTAGCAGTAACTTATTTTTCGCTTAGTTTTCCCACTCGTTGTCGTGTCACGATGTTAAAGGTAAGTTTTAAATATAACTTAATTTATTTATAATATTTCCATTTTTATATACAACCTTTACCTTTTTAAATAAAAAAATAAAAGTAAAAAACAGGCTAATCGCAAAAATCGAAATTAAATATTAAAAATTTTGAAACTTATGCAAATTCGTAATAGTGAATAAAAATACATAGAGATCAATTCAAAGCCAACTAGTATTAATTAGTTATCAATTAAAAAAAAATATTTACGTTAAAGAAAACTGAGTTTTGTATATCCGGTCATGTCCGTGGAAATTATCTATTTTTAATTAAATCAATATATTAACAAAAATAATAGAAAGGTATTTATTTAAAACTCAACTTTTATATACTTTATACAAAATAAGAGACCTTAGAATCAAAATGAATAAAACTTCTGTAAAACTGAAACACGAGGATTTTTTTTCTTACCTTAACTTAACTAAATTGACTGAAATAATTATAAAGGTTGCCTTTAACTATCAGTATTTTCTTTTTAAATATTTCCACGAACTTCTTTCTCTATAAAAACGTCTAATTTAAGTAACTTTAAATTAAAAAGAAAATCCGGATACTTAAAATAAGCAGTTGTTTAAAAAAAAACTTCAGTTTACTACCGACCGTTGAATATTTTTATTACATCCCTAAAAGGCTAAAAGCAACTTTAATTTAGCGACCTTACCCTTTAAGGGTATAAAGCAATCAGAATCTGTCAATTCCTGAAGAGTCGTTACGTCAATCATCAGAGGTTATAATTGTGTTGGCGCGAACTTAAGTGAAGCCTACGGATTGTGATCAGGGAAACGATACTAAACTCACAAACGGCTGGCCTTAGGCTCGTCAATGCAATCTCATGACAAAAAATGTTTCATTTACCCTAATTCTTTTAAGACCATTTTGACTTCTAAGCTATTTTAATATAGTATTTACTATTGCAAGTAATTTACTAATTAAAACTTCTTTTAACCATTTGAATTAAACTTAAAACCACGTGGGGAATTAAAATTTAACCAATAACTTAATAATTGGATGCTCCTACACTAACCATTTTAGGGTGTTTTATGGATTTAGAAATGATTTTACATTTCTCTCGATCTAAATATAATACATTTTATGCGACTAGTTACAAGGAATTTTTTCGCAAATGTATACATTTTTATCCAGTATACCATAACCGAGGTCATAATGTTGCTACATTTGCAACCTAGGAGATTAACCTCAACTATAACACAAATTGCCCGCCAACTAGCGGTTGCCCTGTGTCAGGAACTAAATGATTTCTATCATATTTTAATACACCTATATTATTTATTTACCCTAGTAATATTTCAACTGTTGATTTGATTTATGGCAGTGGTCCGAATCTATTTTTTTATCTTAAAAAATAGTACGTTCCGGGGAAATGCCGCAAGCCTCTTGGGAAACCTACCGTTTATTTAATATAGTATAAATTAATTCATTTGTTTTGTAGTGGTTAGTTATTAAATATGCATATCAATTGTATTTTTTCTATCAATATATGAAATAGATTATTTATAGAATTATAGAAAGTTCTGAAATTCATTTATCTCTCAAAGACCGCCAACGCATCAGCGGTTTTCTGGTACTACAGATGTTCATGGACGTCGTTGAATACCACGATGATACCACTGTGCGTTTGACCCCTTATTTTACAAAAAAAAAACTTGGAACTTGTACTTGGATATTTTCAAACAGAAGTCGAATGATAATCGATTACACAACCGCAAAATAGGTAGTCCATACCCTTAACCATCAAGTGTTTGTGTGACCTCAAAACATTTCAAGAATCTTTAGACGTAGCAAAGAAAATTTTATTTCTTATAATAAATCTAAATATCGTTTCGAGCAAACGAATGTTGATTTTAATTTGAATAGATGAACAAATATTTCATTTTCACAATTTAATATCATCATAAGATAAATAAAATGAATTCGCATTAATACTAAATACTGCTATATTGAGCGTCGGTGGCTCAGGGGACAAGCACCTTGACTTGCAATCTGTAGGTTTGAATCCCGCCATGTACCAATGTGTTTTTCGATTTCCGATTTACATAAGTACATTTATCCGAAGTTTTTACGGTGAAGAAAAACATCGTGATGCAACCTACACATATCTGAGAAGAAATTCAAAGATATGTGTGAAGTCAACCAACCCGCACTGAGCCAGCGTGGTTGACTATGGCGTTATAACCCTAACTTTGAGGTAGGCTCCGAGCCCCTCGGTGGTATAATGATAACTATAATGAAAAAAATGATAAAAATAATGATAACTATATTACTATATACCAGCAACAAGATAATAATAAAATTATAATAAATGAAAGAGAAATGAGCTATATCAATTTAGTTTCGAAGCAATAAAGTAGGAAGTAATTTATTATCATAGGAATTTAATTAAAAACTTCTCTTGTTAAGTTAAAAAAGTCACATTAACAATTCAACGCCTATAATTTGGCAAATTTTCTTTTGTATATCAATTTCACGAAACTGTAATTTTTGTATAATACGTTTAAAAAGAATTTTGATTATATGTTGCACAAAAGACACTTTTAGGCACATTAAAGTAATTTTTCGTCAGCAATTCGTTGGAAGGTTACATTGTAGACATGCCTCAGCAAATGTAATTACTTCTGCGACACTGACTCACACGACCAACGTTGCCTTGCCTTTAATTACACATTTAAAAATGTCACCGCCACGTGTTCAATTAAATGTACTTGCATTCCTTACGACATGTAAAAAGAAATGTTACTTTAACAATTCTTCCTTCTTTTATTTTATTCAAACTTTGCGTATTTAAGGTACGGTATATTCTCAAACTCATCTATATCCCCGTCAACGTGCACTCCCGCCTTGTCATCAGTGGACCCCTACACACTGGTACACTATAAATAGTCAACTATTTATTTTTGGGGATGACCAAAAGTTCAAACAACAATATTCCTTGCACTCGTTTATTTAATCACTCGCTCCACGACATCGATCATCAATCCGTTTTTAGAATGATTACGTCAATTGCCGATACTTATCACCTT